AAACTTGCCACGGGTTCTTGCAACCAAGAACACAAGGAAGAATCGAATTAGAGACAAAAGAAGCCACGTGAACAACATTTGGTCCTACACTAACCAATGTCGATAATCTTTTGTTACAATATCGAGATCTCAATCTATTTCATATGCATATTTAATTGGAATTAGGCATGACAACGGGGCGGGGCGGGTACGGGTTTCATGATACCCGTCCCCGTCCCCGCGACTGAAACCCATACCCGTCCCCGTCCCCATACCCGTCGGGTATGTGATTTTTGTCCCATCCTCGTCCCCATCGGGTATTTGGTATACCCGTACCCGTACCCGTACCTGTAAAAAAATTAATTTTTTTTTACAATTTTTTTTTTAACTTATCTTTATGTTATATTACAATGATAATTGGGTTGTTTGTCTATCTCATATTTTAATCAAGAGACTTCTTAATAATTAAACAACTACAAATATTTCACATCATAATAAATAACTACACATAATTAAAATCTTACAAATTAAACAACCACAAATGTTGAGTAATGTCACAAATAAACAACCACAACGTTGAGTTCAAATAACAAAATAAATTGAAATTTCTCAAATAAAAATTAAAATTCATCTTGCAAGTAGAAAATGTTGAGTAATGTCATTAAGCTTCAATCCACCTATCATAAGACAATTTATAAAAAATTAGAATTGAGTTATGAATAAAAATTTTAAAAATTAGAATTGAAAAATTAGATTAGACTAATGAAACAGCAAAGGCAAATAAACAAGAATACATAACTTAATGTTATATATAGGAATATTCTAGAAAAAAAATATTGTATCTTTGGCAACATAAAATCCCATACATGTGAGATTATGTTCTACTAAGTATTCTTATGGAGCCCTGCTGCAGAGACCCTCCAACTATTCAACTCATGCTATCTTATCACTTGCGACACCCCTTATGTAAAATAAAATAATTTTAGAAGTGTAACATAGAATTTGTCAAAACTAATTTTATGATGTTGATTGTAGGAATATTTTAGCAAAATTGCTTGGATCCATACCAATAATTAACTTTAAGAAACAATAAAATCTAACTTCCAGAATCAATTCTAGAGCCTATAAAGATGTGAGAAATGATTTTGAAAAAACTACCCAAATATGACTTATTACTGTTAGAATAAATTCTAAGGATAGATGAGATTCTAGACTCTTAAAAATCCCAGAGAAACATGCCTTAATGATCCAAACAAACCAGATTCCACATTCTAAAATTGTACCCATGGCATACTATTATTACAAGGAATGACTTGTGGCTGTCGAAGAAAGATGCACACTCTAACAGTTCTTGCTGCTCTGGGATGGGGGTAGGCCCAGCCCAGGCTTGTGCGGTTAAGGATGAATGTGAAAAGAAGCCGCAGAGGAAGCACCATAAGCCCCAAGCGACCTAGCCTAGCCCTAAGCCTAAGTAAGGATGTTGATTCTCGCTCCGCTTGCTCCCACCTGTCTTCTCCCCACTATAGTGAAAGATCTTTCACTTCACCATAGCAGGGACCTCGCTAACCTTCTCGGATAGCTCGGAAAGTTAGTTACTCTACCCACCGGGGTCCCCTCCAGCTTACCCACCGTACTACCCGAAAACCACTACTACAAAGGCTGGTAAGAAAGAAAGCCCCCAAATTCACCTATCATCGCCGGCATAACCATAAGAAAGAATAGAGTTTAGGAGTTTCTTAAGGCGGGCGTGTTCTGAGGAGTTTTCTAAAAAAACGGGTGTTTGCCCGTTTCATTTTTTAAGGTTCCTCTCGAGAGCCTCGATCGTATACTCCGCGTTATTGTTTAATATTCCATCCGCTACCAACTTCTTTTTTTGCTCAGCCCAGAATGGATTGGGATCCAATTGGGCCATTCGACCGAGAATATCACTTTTATATAAAAAAAAGAATGGCATCTATGGTGTCCGTGTCTCGTGGGCGGTTGGAGGTAAAAACCGCGAGTCTGTTTCTTATCTGGTCATGTTGATAGCGAGACCAATCAAAAGGAACCTCCTGAGGAGCGTTCGCCGGGGGGGCAAGCTGCGGAGCTTGAGAAGGGCCAGGTTGCTGTTCAACAGAGGTCCCCTCCTCATAAAGTTTCGCAGAAGCTCCGGATTTGAAAGAGTTAAGGATGTAGGAGACTCCACAGGGGCAGAGGATGATACCTCGCCCTAAGACATGCCTAAAATTGACCAACCTCTCGGCTTACTACGAGTTTCCATAAACAAAGTGCCTAACTTTGCGTAAAGGGGAAAAGGGGTTTTGTCGTCCCTCGGAACCAATCCTGGCTCAAGATACCGATCTCAAATCTGTGTGTAAAAGAAAAAGCACAGATCCTAGAGAGATTGAGCGAGAGAGAGATGTACCGGTGAGGGAGCCGCTCGGAGGGAGAAAATGTAGGCTGGAGTGGCTGGTCCGTCGGAGGCTGGAGTGGCTAGTCCGTCGGAGGCTCACGATGTGAATACGGGATTTGAAACCCTAACTCCCAAATGTGGAGGCTGGATTGTTGGTGTAATCTTGTTGCTGTAATCGTGTTGCTGGAGTGAGTCACTTTAGACTAGAAGCATTATTTTTAAAATTTTAATTTTTTTTAAAATAATTAAACCGGGGACGGGTATTTAACCGGGGACAGGGATGGATTGGGGATGGGGACGGGGACGGGGCGGGTAAGTATATACCCGTACCTGTACCTTTACCCGATTTAATTTATCGGGTTTTATCTGTACCGGTCAAAACGGGTATTCCCCGTCAAAGTCAAGACGGGTTCGGGTATTACCCACGGGTACAGGTTTATTTGTCATCCCTAATTAGAATTAACATTCACAACAAATCGATGAAGTTTGTGTGAAGTGATTATAGCTTTAACTTGTTGATTCCATAGAAGAAAGTTTTTATATTCTAGTTTGATGGAGAGGGAGTGAGCAAAAGTTGAACTTGAATTAACCATGATTTCAAGCCTAAGAAGAAGCTTTAGATACCATATTAGAGAAATAGAGAAATGAAAAAAATATATTCATTAACTAACTTGAGTCTATTACAATATAGTATTTATACTATGCTCAATGGCATAATACACTTGAGTACAAGTAACAAACTTCCTAACTATCCTACTAACTAATACACGTGTACACACTAATAAGAGTGATGCATAAGAAACCGAGTGTGCTTCCCGTGGAGAGCAACATTAGCCTCACTCAGTGAGTAGAATGTTTGTCCCAAATAAAATTGCAGATAGAAACATCAATTTGATTACAAAGTCCCTATGAAATCCATAAATTTCGTATATATACACAATTATTCTACCTAGACTTATTTTATTCAATAACTCATGTTCTACATCAAATTTCAATAATTCAATCGTTGAATTTAAATTTTTTATTGCATAGATTAAGTCTGCAAATTTTTAAAACATTTGAATATCATTTGATACATTTTATTAATTCAAATTGACGGATAATCGTAAAATTATTTTATATATTAATTTGAATTATTGAAACGAAGTATTAAATAATTTTCAATTTTTTTAAAAATTTGCAAATTTTGTCTATGCATTATGAACTTCAAATTCAACGATTTAATCGTTGAAATTTGATATAGAACATGAGTTATTAAATGGAATAATTCTAGGTAGACTTATTCCTAAAATAAACGAATTCCTTCTCATATATATATATACATACATATATATATATATATACATACAATATATATATATATATATATATATATATATATATATATATAAAATGAAGGACAAAACTGCCTTGGCAAGAGTAACTTTGCCTGCACGATTCAAAGTCTTATTTTTCCAACCCTCCAATTTACCATTGATTCGGTCAACAATATGAGCAAAGTGTCTATTACACACACGACATTTTAATAAGGGAAAGCCAAAATATTTGTCCAAATTCATAGTATGTTGGAATTCAATGATGGATGTGAATTTCATAAGTTTCCTTCCGGGCACATTATTACTAAAGGCAAGAGTTCTAGATTTATAGATATTCACCTTTAGACCAGAGTCTTTACAGAAAAGATCAAACACTTATCTAACCATGCAAATGTTGCTTTTGTAAGAAGATAGTTACCCGCATAGAAGATGTTAGAAATGTCATTGGATATCTTAACTGGCTACCTAACACCATCAAATACTTTTTCTTCGATAAAAAGGGCCATTTTTTTCAAACAAAGAAGGAAAATATACAGGGACATTGGGTCCCCTCGTCTCAAACCTATATTTGGTTGAAAACTATCAAGTATCTCATTGTTCCATTTCAAAGACAAGGAAGTGGAGCAAGTGCAGTTCATAATAAGATTAACAGTGTGAGATGGAAAACCAAAATCCTCAAGAGTAGCACGAAAGAATTCCCAACTCATTCTATCATAAGTCTTTTCAAAGTTTTAAAAAGGAGAGTCACCCTTCTACATTTAATTCTTATTGTTTTATATTTAATAAAAGAAATTTAATACAATATTGATGCTAATAAATATTATTGTTTATATTCATTGAAATTAGACGGTCTATTAGGCTTGAAAGACCTTCTGAATGATTTAAAACAATATATTCAATCAAATAAACTTTCATAAAAGTATTAATCTAATTTATTTCATAAAATGTCTAACTTAACCTAGGTTGATTTAAACTAAATCACAGGCATTGTCGAATTAACTCTAGCCTATTGTTACCCTAATTGCAAGTAAAATTCACTCATGATTAAAATTCACTTTCAGATTGACCAACCACTTTTATATATCTTATTTGGGAGATTCACTTAAATAAGGGGGTAAAATTGAGAAATTCTCGTAATAATGATTCAAGTTATTCCCTTACTATTTTAAAATATCTCTAATCTCTTGTAAATTATAATATTGAAAAACATTAAACATAAAAATGAGCATTCCCTGCAAAAGGAATAAGAGAGTTGGCCACAACCCTCCTTCGTTTGAAAGATCACAGGTTCACACAATGGGAGAAACGCAGAGGGACAGAGAAAACTGTTTAATTGGTAAATGATCTACAACATAGTTTGAGTCTTTGTACAGAAGTACACTGATTTGCAGCCATGTAACAATTGGTAGTATCTATGCATCTATACCTCCGTTACTAAGTAATTTTTTCTCTAGGGAATATTACAGTGTTACTAATGAAACCTCTTTCTTGCTGATTCGTATGTGACTAACCTATACAATTGAATTTTTCCTACTAATCTACCTTTCCTAACCATCTCTAATTGGTACCATAAGATCAAATTTCTCAAGTTTCCATCCACCAACTGATATGCTTACAAATAAGCCTCAATGACATGTATCAGAACAAAAAGTTATGTTTAAACAGCAGAATTGGTTCTGAGTGGAGGTAATGGCAACAGATTTCTAATTACAAAGCCACTTCCCCAAAAGGAGGCAAGACAGAGACCCATTATAGCCATAGCAACGACAGAACATGCAGGAGGAACTGCTTGACTACTATCCAAAAATTGGGTTGCGAGAAGGCCTGCAAGGGTAGAACTCTGCATTCCAGTGCATAGTGAAATTGTCCTGCTTACCGGTTCTTCCTGCCTGTGACAGTAGTATATCACTCAATTTTAAATATGGCACAAAATAAAATATTTTTAACAACTGTTAGCAAGAAAATTATGTTAGATGACACATTCCGAAGATAGTTCCAATTCAGGCAGAAATATAAGCTTCCTACAAGATGAAAGAATTCTCATTTTATGCATCATTATCATTTCGAATCAGATTTCCGATATAACAAATGAAGATGTTGAAACACTCATCCTCTATATGGAATAGCTTAATAAAAATAAAAACAAACTATTCAATTTAAAACACTCAATAGAAATAACCAAGTAGAATACGTTTTAGGAACCAAGGAATTTAAGTATTTAACCTTGAAGCTCTTCATCAAAACATATATATGTTTGTCACTTTCTAACATACCAATTTCAATTTCAATCTATTTGTCAATTAGAAGCTTGAATGGCCTAGTTCTTAAAAACTAGCAGCTATAATTACTAACTAGTTACTCCCTCTGTTATCTTTTATAAACAAAAATAAAAAAAATACACATTTTTTCTCTCTCAAATATAAGCAAATTTTAACTATTTTTACTTCATTTAATAATACTTTTCCCAAAACACCCTTCCTTTAATAAAAAATTGACTTTTCAACAAAACTCTTTTAATATAGTTAAGAAGGACAATTTAAGAAAAATATTATGAAATTTATAAAGTTTAATGCACTTCACTAATTTCCTTAATGTGTTAAATCAGCTATTTTGTTGCTTATAAATGAAAACAGGGAAGTCCTAAAGAGGCCACCAGATGAACAAATATAACTAAACATTAAATTCTGCATTTATGCATTATACTTCAGGTATTTTTCCTTGGTAATCTACTTCTAAAAGTGAGCATACCTCAAGGATGGAACCTTTGAGAACCAATATCCTAAAGTGAAGGCAACAACGTGAAATGTTAATACTGGAAAAACCAATCGGAGACCTTCGCCTGACAAAATTTGACTCCGGTTTAAAGCTAAAGGGCTGCCAATGCACATTGAAGTACAAATCATAGCAACAAAGGGCATCATAGGTTGAAGAACAGATACAACTGGCTTTGCATATGTATTGAGAAGAAGACCAAGTGTTACAGGAACAAGAACAACCTGCCAAATATTTACAACTAAACCCTCATTAAATCAAATTTATGTAGAACTAGTGGGTCGAATCATTCTGTACCTCTATATTTATTTAAAAATAATTAAAAATTATCAATATTTGTTGATTCAATTGGTACTGTATCTAATCTTTAAATCTCAAAGTCTTGGATTCAAGATTTGGATTTGTAAGAATAGTTAATTTTCAATATTATTTTTTATTATTTAAAAATTTAAGAATAAAACAAACAAAAAAATTGTATATACATAAACAAGGAATCGCTTTTATATATAGGTATAGATATAGGAGAAACATTCACTACATACCTGCAGGATTGACTTGGACATGGCAACTGCATCAACTGGCACTACTGATCCAATCAGAAGACCAGTTAACAATGGTGTAACAATAACCGATGCAATTGTGGTATAGCTTGTGAGAAGAATGCCTAGGGCTACATCCCCTTTGCTTAAAAAGTTTGCGTAGCTGGATAACTGAGCCCCAGAAACACACGCTGTGAGGATAAAACCCGCATAAAACATCCTAGACAAGCCAAAAGCCTTTGCAACCAAGACCCCGATAGCAGGTTTAAGTACGTATTGTGCAATTAACCCAACAGTAAGTGGCAAAGGTCTGCAACAAAATGAAGACAATGAACGCTGGAAGAAGCTCCATGACTTCATATAAAAAATTAAGCAGAAAATAAAGAAAGTAGTAATGAAAACCAGTAAACCATACCTTTTAAATGCAAGAGCAAAGTCATCAATGGATAGTCTTATTCCAATAGACAACATAATCCCACCAAGAGCAGGAGCATATAACTCCTTAGATACCCTGATCAAGTTGAAACCTCACACTCAGTTCTTCAATTTCTATACTATTCCACTGTGCATGCTCTAACAGAATAACAAATTTAAAATTCTAACAGGAAAAGAGAGAAAACAAAGAGCAACTACAGCAGAAAAATAAAATATCAAATGCTAGCAAGACACCCTTTTGAACACATTAACTATTATCAGTTGAAATTTATTAAAAACCATAAAATTTTGTGGTTTACATTCATATTTAATGATTAATAAATTATAATTTTGCAATTCTTAATAAATTTTATTGATTAATCAATAAAAGAAAGTGTGTCAACAAAAATGTCTTAGAAGAGTGTATTGTTATCACTCCTCAAATAACCTTTATTCAGTAAATATTTCCAGAAAAAGTTCAGTCAGAGTACCATAACAAAGGTGTTAATCAAACACATAATATAAAATAAGGTAAAATGACCCGAGCTTCTTTCATAGACTAAAATCAACTTACACAATTAACTTCTATACAAACTTTTTTCAATTAACCTCTCAACAAGTTAAGGTAAATAAGTTTATTTTAACAAGTTCCATACTTTTTACCTTCATATTTTCTTCTCTTAAACGTATTTGGGAAGTTTATGCTTCAATTAAATTGCAGTCCAATAACACCCTTTCAAGCACAACAAAAAACCGTCACAACAAACAAACGGTTATGACAACATCGGTCTGGCTAAGTAAGTCGTTAATAAAATCCCACTTCATTAAATAAAACAATCAATTTTCTTCTCAATAAATAATATTTTTAAGACAGTCCACAAAAAAAAAACCAGCAACACACAAAAAAAAAACATTATGTTAATATATGCAATTCTTTTTTAACCATGCCCATTAAGCATTGTTTATAAGGTCCGATCCAGAATCCGAGAAATTAACTTTAATTGTGCTTCCATATTCAATTTATATTTATCTTAAAATAATATTTGATGAACGAAAATTATATTTTACAAAATTTCGGATAAGTCCTGAGTTGTCAAGTTTGAGTACATTATAACATGTCCATGGAGAAAAATAAATAAATAAAAACATAAAAAATAAAATAAAATAAAATAAAAAAAAGTGACGAGAGAGAGAAAGCCACCAAGTAAAAGTGGAAGGTTGAGCAAGAGCGACAACAGCGGTAGCAGCAACAACAACAGGAAGCAATGCGGACAAAAGCTGAGACCAATCTCTCTCCCTCACTTCCCCAACGGCGCTTCCCTCGTCAACACCGAACGAAAGCAACGAGAACTTCCCCTGTCTTCGCTGGAACGGGAACCCCAGCCTGCGCGAAGTGGAGCACGCGAAACACGCCGCGGCGCCGCCCTTGGAGCCGCCGCACGATAAAAACGACGCGCGACGGCGCATGAGGGGCAGGAAGGGCATGGCCTGGAGCCTGGGCTTGGCGGAGCATGCGAGCGGAATTGAGGCCATTGAGTGCGGTGGCGCCGGCGGTGGCGGTGGCGGCGCCGGTGAGGTGTGGGAGAGGCAGTGGGAAAGTGAGTGAGGAGATGAGGTTGTGGGAGAGAGTTGGCGTATACGAATATGAATGAAGGTGTGTGAAAGAGAAGGCGAGAGCGATGGATGGTGATGGGTGTGTTTGTGTTGAATTAGATGGTTGAGTGATACATGGCTGTGAGTGGCTTGGTTTGGTTGATGGATGGTTATTGGTTGGGGATTATGTTGGCATATTAGAAAGTAAGAATGGATGGGCAAGATAGGCATGACATGAGGGTGAGTTTCTTAGAAAGTTTTACTATCTCCCTTTGATGTTTGATGTATATCCTCCCAAAACTATGTGAAACAATGGTCGAAAGTTTCAAATATTTATATTTTTTTTAATAATTTTATTATTAAATAATTATTTAATCTAATATTTTATAATTTAAATTGATTTTTTAAAAATTTGAAATATATTTTGGAATACGATTTCAGAGATTGTAGAATTTTTCTTATAATAAATGAGAATCATATTTTTTTTATTCTAGATATTATAAAAAATTGATTTTAAATTAATTAATTAGTCATTTATTTGATATTTTTATTTATTATGAATTTATTAATGAATTATTTACTTATTTTTTATGAAAGTAAATATATTTATTGAATAATTAATACTATGCATCATGTTTATTGTTTGACAAAATTATTTATTGACTTTTGAATAATATAATTGAATATAACATTACTTGCACTATAATTTTATTAGTATTTTTGAAATAAATTTTTAAATTATAACATTATTTATTACGACTTAATAATCTAATTACTTTCATTAATTTTGATAAATTAGATATTTGTTTCGCACATGTAATTATAGAAATAGAAGTAATATTATTTAATAGATGGAGGCATGCATGGACCATTTAGGTGAACTCCAATATAATTTTTCTTAGATTTATTATTAAAAAAATTAGTTGTACAAATGAGTTAATTACAGCTAATTTTATTAATTAGAGGAGTGTTAGTCACCTACTCCAGAATTATTAGAGGAATGCTGAAATTAATTGAAAATTATAAATTTTATAGGGACTTGTCTGAAATTAATGACAAAATCTATTAAAATTTGTGATTTTTAATCAATAATAAAGAGTATTATCGAAAAAGAGTATTGTTAGTATTATTTTATTAATTATTAGTGTAAAAGAGAAAACTCATGTATCTATGTATATTATTAAAAAATAAAAAATAAATAAAAGATAAAAATAATATAGATATTGAGTGGTTCCAATTATATGGTGTGAGTAGTTAGAAATATTTATAGAAATAAATAGGAATAAAGTACGACAATAAATAAGAGTGGAATTAAGTTCAATTCTCTTAAATAAGGGTGTAGGTTCAAGAATTATGGATGGAAAAAACATGGATTGGAGAGGACACTCCACTAAAGGTAGCCAATCATGTTTTTCAACAAATATTATTCAAAATTAGCACATAAAAAGTGGAACCAGAACGGGCCGTTCTGGCCTATAAATAAAAAAAAAAATTTGTTCGATTTTCACTTATCAAATATCAAAACTCAAAAACTAACATCAAATAATTAAATTTATTAAATATTAACATTATAAATATAATTAAATAAATTTATTAAAATTCAATACAACAACAAAGATCAATGGTGGCTGAAACTGAATTCATGACCAATATTTGGATATGTCTTCCTAGTGTGACTAGGGGTGTGACCATGCGAGCAAAGGATATGAACTTTCTGGAACTTGCCGCAATCACACCACATTATATTTAGTCTTACTATAAATCTCCCAACGGGTCATGCGAGCAAGGGATATGAACTTTTTTGAACTTGCCGCACTCATACCACATTTCATTTAGCCTTACTGTAAATCTCCCAGCGGGTCATGCGAGCAAGCGATATGAATTTTCTGGAACTTGCCGCAATCATACCACATTTCTTTTAACCTTATTGTAAATCTCTCAGCAGGTCAAACTTCTCTCGAATGTAGCGTTTCTTCCAACTTTGTGGCCAAATCCAGAACTCAAAAGAACTTTCAAGGGTCGGTCAAAGTCCAGTAGGATTAGAATAGAGATGGATATTAGAGAACAACATAATCGTGTAAAAAAATTGTTCCTATTGTCACACTCCTGGTCATACTAGGAAGACATATCCAAATATTGTTCATGAATTTAGTTTCCGCCACCATTGATTTTTATTGTTGTAATGAATTTTAATAAATTTATTTAGCTATATTTATAATGTTAATATTTAATAAATTTAATCACTTAATAGTAGTCTCTGAGTTTTGGTATTTAATAAGTAAAAATCGAGAAAAAAAATGGTTTGAAACTGTAGGCCAGAACGGCCCATTCTGGATTCAGAACGACCCGTTCTGGTTCCACTTTTTGTGTGCTAATTTTGAATTTGGAACGGCCCGTTCTGATCCATTTGCCATGTGTTATTTTTTAATCTGGAACGGCCCATTATAGTTTTAGAACGGTCCGTTCTAAACGTGAACAGTAAATGGTGCTAGTTGGGGAAATAAATTTGCATAGTTGCTATTTGGATAAATTTTTTTAAAATAGTATTATTTGAGTAAAAAATTCCCAAATTGAATAAAAATTTATCTAACATTTATCATGAAGCACAAAATAATCATATTAACATACAATCACTCAAAGTACAAGTAAGAGTTAGGGGTTCCTAAGTAGGGATGGCAAATATACTTGTACCCGCGGGTAATACCCGAACCCGTCCCGACTTTGACGGGGAATACCCAGTTTGACCGGGTACGGATACGGGTACGGGTAAAACCCGATATATTAAATCGGGTACGGGTACGGGTACGGGTATGTACTTACCCGCCCCGTACCGGTACCTGTACCCGTCCTCATTTCCATTTTTAATTTAATACCCATTTTCAATTTAATTATATTAAAGAATTTTAATATTTTTTTATGTGTGATTATTTATTATAATATGAGATAAAGAAATAACTTAATTATAATTATAATATAATTAAAAAAATAATTTAAAAATATTATATTTTTTAAAAAAAATAAAAAATAAAAAATTTCACGGGTACGGGTACGGGTACGGGTATACCCGATACCCGACAGGGACGAGAATGAGGATAAAAATCATATACCCGACAAGTACGGGTACAGGAACGGGGATAAGTTTGGCTCGCGGGGACAGGAACGGGTATCATGAAACTCGTACCCGCCCCGTCCCGTTGCCATCCCTATTCCTAAGGTTCCCTCACATAGCATAGAAAAACAAACAAAGAAATTAAGTTCAATTTCGCTACCCAATAAATAATTCACATCACAAAGTGAAATTACTCACTTCCCTTGCATCGGTAAACGCTTGATGAAGGACAACAATATCCAAGGTGCACTTATAATGCTTGTACATTTTCCTCTTGGAGTTCTTTCGCTTAGAGAGAAAAAGAAACACATAAGGAAAGTGTAAAAATAAAATTGACTCACTTAATTGCTTTCAAAATAACTCTTAACTCAAATTTAACTCCTTGGGTTAAAAGATTAACCACGATTACACTTCTTTCCTATATATTTAATAAAGACAATTACATATAAAACTATTTACATTAAAACCATATAATAAAATATTCATATTTATTTAAAAGCCTCTAAATTATTTTTTAAACATGTTTTATTAATTTAAAAATCTCTTAATAATTTTTTTAAAAAAAATTGGGGTGTTATAGCAATAACTATTTTATTTTATATTTTTGTGTAAAATAAATATATTTAATTTTTTTTATTTTTTATGTTTGATAAAATATTTTATTTTTTTTATAGTCTTTGATGTAGATATACTAGTATTTTCTTTTTTAAAAAAATTGAATATCATTTATTTTTTTATTTTGATAATTTTTTCATTTTATATTTCGTTATAACTATTTTAAAAATTAAACATGTTTTATATGCTAACAAATGGCTTTATTAGTATTTTTGTTATATGCATTTTCTTTTATAAATAAAGAATATTTATTAACATTTTTTAATGATGCTAATTTATCAACTCTATATAAAGGATTGACAATTTAAATATTGAGATACATAAATAAATATCATTATTCTACTCTCTCTTTTTTTTCCCATTTTGTCTTCATTTTTTTTTCTCATTGTTTGTGAGGTTCTGCCAATCGAGTGCACGGATCCAAACACGTAGCTGAATGAATATTGTAAAAGTAATTTTCTTATGTGATTGTTGACTATTAATGTTGTAAAAGCTACGGTAAATATAGATATCAAATTTTATTATAAATTAATAAAGGGTTGTAATGACGTGTGAAACTAATGATTAAGATTTATAATATTAATTCTTTAAAAATAAATGTTTAATTTATTACTATAGAAAAATATTTATATTTTATATTCTTGAATTATTTAAAAAAATGCTCAATTAAAATATTTTATATAAAATCTAATGTTTATATATTTATTAATAAATTCTAATTTTTAAAGTTGATCCCCCACTTCTTTCATTTTGACTTTGTCCCTACTTTGATAATTTGACTTCTATTCATTAATTTGGTTATTATATCTTGAGCTTTAGATATCCTTTTTTAGGGCTTATAAATTCATGGATTAGCTAACATCTAAGATTACAACATTTACAAAAATCACAAAAGTTAATTCAAATGGTAAGATGTACTCTAAAGGTTGACACAACCATGATAAATTTGTCATTTTGGTTGATATGAAATATTTACAAGTGCACCAATGTCATCAAGTAATAAAATTATTGAATCCATTGGTATTGTGATTTGGCTTGTTTAATTATCATTTTTTAATTAAAATTGGATAAAATTGGAATTTTTAGATGAAGAGACAGTTTCAAGGTACACAAATGATTAAAATCAAGATAATTATTTTAGTAAGAAAAAATTAATTTAGATAATATTTAGAAGATATTCTAAGAACACTAGTTCCTAACAATCTAATCATTTCAATCAATGTTTTACTAGAAATTTATTTGAAAGTGAGTTAACCTAAGGTACCCTTCATTCCCTTTCAAGATACAAAGATGTACCTAATTGAATTAATCCTTACTATCGTGGTAGTTATGTTCAATTAAACTTATTATGTTTTATGTTAATTCAATTGATCTTTGAAGGATTAAACCTACTTTCATGATTTAAAACTTAAGTTCAATTCTTAGAGTTCCAATATTTAGGTTCACTTTTCATTTATTTCCTATAATATCTAAGATTATGAAACAACGAC